TAGCTTAATTCAGATGCCACCAAGGAATAAATGAAAACAATTTAGCACCTTATCAAAGTTTAGCAACATTATTATTAGGGATAAATTTAGACAAGCCTGTCAAGCGATCAAATATTAAACAGAACCCACCGCTGCCTGTCAATTTCAACAACTGCAGTGATTTAATCCACATGAGATGCCGAGTATGTTTTGAAGTCATCTGAGAAAACTCTTGGCTGTTTGACTCAGGTTCTTACAGAAACGTAAGTTATTAATGGATACAGTTAATGAAAGACTGTTTGAAGGTTACCGCTTTCCTTCATATTGATGCTACTCTATGCGTCGTGTTTAAGCTTCAGTGAAATATAATCCATAAACCCTTCACTACAATGAAACTGACAGTAATTAGGAAGTCTCTTCAAAGGGCCGACTTTACTTTGCAGGTCGTCTTCAACCTGCAAAGTAAAATCTTTTCAGCAGGCACTTACACAGGCACCCCCTTTGGGTCTCATGCAAACAGGCCTCATTATGGCTGCATAAAAAGTCTCTTTGTTCAGCAACATGTCCTGCATAATGAACGGAGTGACCGGCGTTTTCATCCTTTAATGAGTATACCGTTTGGTATCAGGTGCCGTAATGATATGCAGTCGGGCTTCACAAGCAACATGACTCTCTAATATGATTTTTAATCTAAGGTTAATGGCTGTGCATTCCTAAGGTGCAGATAGAATATACCTGGTATTGATGGAACAAATGGAAATCAATTGAATTGATGCAACAAAAACAAAAAAGAAAAAAAAGAGAGAAACTAGGCTTCCACAATCATTTTGTGATTTGATTGGAGTAAATGGCTAATTGCCCACAGATTCATGCCTACTTCATGTGCTCTAGAATTTAAATTTGAATCAAGTAATCAGTGCAAATAATGTAATTTTACCACTAATCAAGGAAAGCAAAAAGGAACAAAATTAAAAAATTAAAAAAACGGACCAATTGAAGTGGCCAGTGCCCTTACAGCCCATTGAAACAGGGCATAATTAATCCTATAAGGGGAAACAATTGTTTAACACTTACCTGAATACATTACATATGTGGCAGAGTAAACAATCAGTGGTGTGAACTGCTTGCTAAAAAGTTAGTTGTACTGGTATATGTAAATGTAAAGAGAAGCAATAATTACAAACTTGGCATTTAGCAGAAGCTAATGCTAAAGCGCTAACTTCAATTCAAATTATATCTGCCCTTGAAAGATTACAATCCTTGATCTTTTTTTTTATGCAGGACATTAATACAAAGAAGCATCATAAAGTCTGGGTGCATTACGTTTCCTGCTGACCCAGCAACAGGAAGGACTTCAAAGTCGGTCAATACTTCCATCATCACCATCAGGCACAGAAACATTTTGACACTTACAGCAAAATCTGTGACTTTATAATTTGTGATCAAAAGAACTTGTGACACTTTATGACAGCTGAGGCTTGAATAGTTAAGAGGAACTTGGTCTGCGTTGCTAGGAAAAAAAAAAATGACTCGCTTACAAAATGAGGGCTTGAAATACATGCACAGCTGTGGTGTTGACTCTGGAGATGTTTAGGTAGCAAGAAGTCTAAATTAAAACCAAAGGACTTCCAACGTGGTTAGATTTGCATATACGTTGATTTACATTCCCGGCGTTTGCTTCTTTTTGAAAAGCTCTTTTCAGGTCGCAGATTACTCTAATATCCGGCAGTGCTTCTGTCTGAGTTGTTGTCAGCCAAGAATTCAAAGCGGACAAAATACCACAAAACACTTCTGATTCTGATTTCAACAACAGCCTGGAAACTAGTTGTCAGAAAGAAAAGAAGAAAAAAAAAGTTGGATGAGCAGCTGGGATGTGGGGATGAGAAAACGATTTTCCATCAGCTATATGCGCCCTAACGTGTCCAGCTTTTTTACTGGCAGAAATTTGTTTTGCTCAATTTCCTGTGTTTAGTTGAGACTATAATGACTGGCACAGTTACAGAGGGTTATGTTTAATTCTTGGCACTGTGGGGGGTCTTTACTGCATTGACACAGCAGGTCTTGATGCTCAATACTGATTTGCTTTTCTTTCTGCTATAAAAACAATTTTCTTTTTTGCATGGTCGTTCGTTCTGCTGAAATGATGCCAGTGTGAAAAGAGTTAAGAAATGTGGAAAATTCAGTTCCAGTTATTTGCTTTCAGTTTGTGTTAAAATGACAAACTGGGCTTTAGAAGGCTCACATATCCACACAGCCAAAACTCTACTGATGGGTGTTTATTGGGTCGGTGATCCCAGAGTTAATTGCTTCTTTGGCGTCTTTTACTGCCACACAGAGGCAGGTGCATTGTTTGCATCAAAGTAAAAAGAACAAAGAGAAATGATCAAAATGGAAAGATGGTCTAGCTCGTTAGAACTGACGGAGAGAAGTCGATCTTGTATTTATCGTTAAAAAAGGTCAGTTCTGTTGTTTTTTTCACTTCTTACTCAAAACAGAATAAGCTAATGTGGTGGGTTTTTTATTGTTAAATTAGTCTATCTTTTCCACCATCTCTTTCAGCCTCTTTTAACTGCTTACACACACACGTTGCAGCTTACATAACCATGTATATGTGTGACTGCCGACAGTCATATATCTCTTCCATTTGTATGACATGTATGGCTTGTAACATTTGATCATTTTTTGGCATTAAAAGCTTGTTTTTATATTTTACCAAATCAAATTATTTCTCAAGGTAATTTACACTGAGGGGTTCTGGTCGGGTCCTGAAACTGGCTAACAGACCTGGAGGAGCACAGAGACAAAAATGAATGAACTCCAACATTAACCCTCTTACTGTTGGGTGAATTCATTAAACTATGCAAATATACAGATTACTGTAAATTTCTCTATAGCCATTTCCAATGCTTGTTTTTGTTGAAGTTTTGTTGAAGTTTAAAGTGTACTTTGAGGCCTTTTGTTGAAAAAGCTCTGAGAGCAGCTGGGAATAGGAGGGAACTCCAGACACACATGGTTCTGTCCACGTTGTCTTTTCTTGTAAATAACATAAATCCTGTTATTTGCTAGATAAGTGACAAAAGGAAATATCGTTACCCCAAGTAATTTTACTCACCAGTTACTTCAAGACAAGTGGAAAATTACTAAGGAACTACTTCCTTTCAAATTCAAAATAAGAGTCTGAAAGCTAAATACAAGGTATTGAGACTAAATCACTCATTCATCTGTAGGGTCAATAATAACTTCTTGAATATTATAAATTATATAATACTTCACAACAATGATGGGACACCATTTTGCAGGAAAACCTTCTTACAACTAGAAGATGCTCAAATAAAAGGGCAATAAAAGCATTAATACTTTAGTATTTGTTCCATAGAAACCTAAAGACAAACCACACACTTCTGGTATAATTGTGATTGAATATTTGACTCCTCTTCTGGGCAGAACTGGTAAACAGACTGGTTAAGCTGGACCAGGCTTTCAGAGTTAAGGTCTGGGCTTTAGGAAGACATTTCCACTAAATCTTGTAAAGCGTCAGTGCAGACAGCGTCAAGAAATTAAAGAACTTGTAGCTACAGCTTAGAACTTCCTGAAAACAGTAAACTTACAGACTTGTAACTCTTGTCTCTCGTTTCTCGAGTGCACCCTGAGCCCTCCCATCATCCTCCTTGTCAGTCCTACTCAGAAAACCCTCAGGTGCTCTCTGTCAAGCTCCTGTTCCATTTAGTTACATTTAACGCTGTATGTTCCCAGTAGCGCTTCCAGTCCAGCTTGCTTGAGCCTCATACAGAAACGAGAGCAGACTTCCATCAGCCAAAGCAATTGGTACTGCTTTCCTACCAATATCAGAAAAAAAAATACTGCCAAAGTTTTTCTTTTCTTATAAATCTCAAAGCATATTTCAGTTCAGAGTCTTTTGTATTTCTGTTTAGTACTAAAATGTACAGCAGATGGTGGATAATAACCCATGCCTTTGTTGCACTGCGATAGCTCTGTATGGAATACTAGAACTGCCACTTCTGAGACTACACCAATCAGCAAACCGCAATCTAGTATCGTTAAAAGGCCGACTGTGGATTTTACCCTTGAACTGAAAAAAGAAAATGAGCAGGTTTGACAATGGCTGCACATCTGTTCCCAAAGCCCTTTATTCCTCTATAAAAAATAGTGCTTATTTTTATCTTTATGTGCTACAATCCAGGTTTTCCTTAAGATAAAGATAACGTTGAACTATGCATGGAAGATAACAGACAACTTTTGTTGTGAAGACCAACTTGCATGACCAACTACTGAGGAAGACGTCAACTGACTGAGCTGACCAAGAGGAAGCACGACATATGGTGTGCTTGAAAATGGAGGCTTGACTGCAGAGTCATTAGCCAACCACTAGCCAAGCGCAGAATTAGATTTTTTGCTTTTAAATGTCACTACAGTAACAGTAAAGATTAGTTATAATCACCTGTTTTAATAGTTCAAACATCAAATACAGTGTAATATGCATCAACAAGCACAGTGGAAATCGTCTTAGCCATAGCACAGAAGCCAATATCTACAGACGTCTCTATCTCCAAAACTGGCGACATAGCCAATCAGCACCCAGGAAAAATAAATGGCACTTCTGGATTGGCTACTTTCCACACACCAGCCAATAGTGTATCCAGTAGCACTGAACTTTGGCATTTCAGCTTCCCAAGCTGCGGTCCTTTTGAAAAAGTTTAGATATTCGTTAGAAAATACCTATGAACATTGAACCGCAAATAGGTGGGGGTTGACTGTAGCACTCATTACATATTTGCACGTTACTTAAGACTTAAGATTTAGAAAATACAGAAGAAAAAAATTTACAATGACACAATTAATTCCCAAAAATTGTCATTAGAAACTGATGCGATTTGGGAAAACCTTGTTTCCAAATCCAGTTGGTTCGCCACAAAATGTTATGCAACACAGTACTGCAATTTATTCTGGTATTTCAGCTGTTCCTACTTTCCAAACCTTTATTTCTTGTCGCTCCCTCTTACCTGGAATATTATGGATGGTGATGGCAAGGATAAGCAGGAGAATTCGCCGCCAGCTGTTGCCTGTTTGGCCAACTTCTTCTAGTGTTTTACTTCCTGCTTCTTGTCCATCAAAGTGGCCTGAATTGGGCCCTCTTCTTCTTTGGTAGACCTCCCCATTTTCAGATTTGTCTGTGAAAAAAAAAGCACAGAAAGACAAAGTAAAACAAACATTAAGCAACATTCTCATAAACAAATTACCTGAAGAATGCACCTAAAACCTAACTTTCTCAATGCTCCGTCCCCCAAAAACAAGCAACACTAATGATATCTGTAACTCTGTTATGGAGTAGATAAGACTGTAGCCAAACCGGGCAGCTTCCAGGTGTGAAAATGTGCAAGTGTGACAAGACTTTTCCAAAATCAAAAGCTCTCGTCTGAGTGAAGCGGCCCCAAATAAAGGTTAGAAAAACCCTGAAGGGCTTCAGCATGCCTCAAATTAACGCCTTCAGTTTACTCCCAACAGGAGTGCTTGTCGGCTGGTGGAACAATGCCTGAAAGCTGCACACTGCCAGCTGCCACCGACAATGTCTATTAGGCTCCAGAGTGGAAAATCAAATGAGCCGGCCCACTTCATGCAGTGAATGGGCAGCTGTGTGGAGAGTCAGCTCCTCTTCCAGGGCCCTTCTTTCTCCTTTCTTCACATACAAAAAGATTATGATTGACTATCGGGAAGATGACGAGGATATTTACATATCCGACCCCGGCTTCAAAAGATCGCCATGAGGCCTTCACGAAGTTATTGAGAATTGCTTCCTAATACGGTTGGATCACATGTAAATATTAGCACTTTCTGAGCAAAAGCCGCCTTTCGGCTCTAATTGGATTGCCTGGCAGATCCAGAAAGCTGCTGTATGACAGCGAAAGTCCCAAAGGAGTTACAATTACATGGAGAAATCTGCATTTCAAATCAGCGAACATCAAAATGGGTTTTACATACATTTGGCAAATACACATTGGCTTCTGCAATTACTGGGAGGTCTGGTAGGTTTGAAATAAATTAACCTCTCATAACTTTTGCACAGTTGCACAAACTTTGGATTGAATACATTTAATGGTAAATGGATGGTTCTGCAACAACAAGGTACTGTGATCCATTCCTGGTTGGAGCTTTTCGGTATGGATCTTGCATAATTTCTATGCATGGGTGGGGAAATGTTTAGTTAACTAGAGGTTCTAAACTACTTTAAAGTTAAGTGGAAGTTTATAAAGGTCCTTATTGTTTGTCATTTGTTGCTTTGTAGTGGATTAGTGAATCTTTCTCGATCTCATTCAGATTTAGACCTTGCCTATTCTTTCTAGATTGCCTAGACTCTTGTGTCATCTCTCATTCCGGCATCTCTTCAGCTCAGGTGTTCTATAGGGGGAATGTTGACTTCATTTTGGATCACTATCATTCTTTTCTTGTGTAGTTCAAAAGATCTTGATTTAAAAAGCAACTTTCAGACCAAAAATGGTGTAACAGTACAAGTATTCATCTCAAAAATATCCAGTACGGCCCTGTTGGGTTGATATGCTGTTTCGTTTGAACAAGTTATATTCTCAAATATGGGAAAAGTCCTCCTTAAAATTTTCTAAAAATGAACACTGACCATTTTTGGTTCAATACAGGACGCAACATTTATCAGCCAAATACGTGACCATTCTGTATTTTGCGGGACGGGTGGCAACCCTACCCTGTATATTTCTGAGGTTTTTTTTCTATTGGCTTCATATTGTTCGATAACAAAAATTAAAACTTCTCAATGTTTGACATTGTCTAGCAAAATGTTTTTACTTCAGGCTACAATAGAATGTTCAGTTCCAATGACATCAGCATTGACGTCATCACTATGACATCACAAGGGAATCTCTCTCTTGANTGTAGCTCTCAGACAGCGTTTTCTCAGACCTGTTCCACAGTTCTATCGCGGCAGATCACTCTTCAGAGCACGTTCGAAGTTTATCGGAAAGAGCGAGATATCGATTTTAGATATTACACGCCTTTCAAAGAAGCGAGAATTTACCAGAGTTTAAACATGAAGCAACAACAGATTGGATGTGAACATGAAGCTTTTCCAGCAGAGCTTTCATGGGTCGAAATGATGGAGCTCAACATCCAAGTTGACTACGACGCCATCGTTTTCCCTTTAGAAGACGACAGCGATTTTGTTGAATCTGTTGATTCATCTTCCATTGAGTTGGAAGATCAGTCAGCAGAGATCCAGGGGGAATCAAGTCCTTCCAGCGACTTGGAGATTCCAAGATCATTGGAAGTCAAGCAGGAAACATCTCCATCTGCTGACTTCAAGATCACCCCCTTAGTGGAAGAGACAAACCAACACGTTAGAGATCTGACTAAGCAGGTTGACGATCTTAAAACAGAACTGCAGAGTACAATTTTTGATCTCCACGAGGAAAGAGACAGAATGATTTCATACCAGGCTGAGGTCAAATCACAGCAAGAGGAGATTCAAAAGCTGCAAAAACTGTTGCAAAAAGAACGTCCCCTGCAAGCTAAACGTGAACAGGTTACTTGCTCTTCTAAAGTTACAACCGCCAAGACCGTCCTTCGACAGCTGGAGCACTTCAAGTGGGAGGCTGAAAAATATGCCTCCCGCAATAAAGGTCTCATAGAGGTAATGGTTGAAGAATATAGAGTGAGACTTAAATACGAGGAGCAGCTCAAAAGTTTCTCAGAGCAAGCTTCCAAATTCAAAAAGCAGGAGGAAACTGTAAAATCTCTGCAGGGTCAGGTTGCGGACCTGAAGGAGAAGTTGAAGCTTGCTCTGGATAACAACCATCAGAGAGTCTCCACCCGACCAGAGGTCCCCCTGCAAACTGAAGGCTCCATACCAACAAAGGAGACCAAGCAAAGGCAGACTTTGAATCAACGAGGGGTCTCCATGCATAGCCTGGCTCAGCCTTTGCGTCGACCCACATCCAGGTTGCAAACAGAAGGCTCCCTGCCAACAGAGGAGATCAAGGAAAGACAGACCTCCAATCAACCAGGGAGGTCCGAGGAAAGATGGACCTCCAATCAACCAGGGAGGTCCGAAGAAAGATGGACCTCCAATCAACCAGGGAGGTCCGAAGAAAGATGGACCTCCAATCAACCAAGGAGGTCCGAGGAAATATGGACCTCCAATCAACCAGGGAGGTCCGAGGAAAGACAAACATCCATGCGACCAAACTCCACTGGTTGCATGAAGGGCCTTCATGCTGGCGTTGGCATGAAGACCAATCTATGCCCGGCTCGGCCTTTACACCGACCCACACCCAGGTGGCACTAACCTGGGTCATTATCCAAACCCAGGTTTTGCCAACACTGGGCATTATGAAAATTCAACGCTTTACACAAATTTAGAAAATTAAAACAGACACAGGCAAATAAAATTCCTCACTCCAAAATCAATGGAGAAAACACAGCATCAATTTCAGCTGTCCAGAAACAACCAATCAGAACCAAAAGTGTTAAATGTGTCTCAGCACATTCAACATATTAGAAACCAATCAGAACCAAAAGTGTTAAATGTGTCTCAGCACATTCAATATATTAGAAACCAATCAGAACCAAAAGTTTGTCCTTTGGTTTGATTGGTTTCTAATGTGTTGAATGTGTCTACTGGTATGCTGCAGCTATGCAATTGGCAGAAAAACAACCTAACATTATATCATCATTATTTATAGAATGATTTTAAAAAACAAAATTCTATACAGGTTTGTCAAAACTATTTCGACCCATATTAGAACTTTGCATTCATTTCCCTTCATTTTAGTAGCTGCAATTTTGCCTAACCCAGACATTTTCCCCAACTCTAACATTAACTAAAACATAATTCACAATGAATCCATCATAATAGGACCAGGCTTTGGTACTAATATGATGGAACTAATATGACACTGTACATATAGTGGTGAGTTCACACCAAATGCGTTTTGACCGTCAGGCGCATCTGGTTAACATTCAAAGTCTATGTGGAGGCGCGTCGAGGGCCGTTGCGGCGCCTTTAGAGCTGCTAGTGCAACGTTGGACGCTCCACATAGACGTTGAATGTAAACCAGACTCGCCTGACGCTCAGAACGTATTTGGTGTGAATGCACCATTAGAATGTTCAGTTCCTATGGTAACAATGACATCAGCAGTGATGACATCACTCGTTGATACATCAAAGGAATCTCTCTCAACTGTAGCACAGTTTTTTTCAGACCTGTTCCTGTTTCAGACTTATAAGTTATGAAACTTCTCCAGGAGCTGTTAAAATTATTTCAAGGCTCAGCATCAGCCCAGTACAGGTTCACATTCTCAGGTGAGAGAGACTCACCTGGTATGAAGTTACTTTTTCAGTACTGGAATTACATTTATTAGTAACGTAAAAGCATGTCATGAATATGTGTGCATATATTCCATTTTTAGTCCAGAGCATGCTAGTTTTTTCTGTTGCTTTTTCCACCACTAGATGATATGCATATAGCATATAACTAGCATATAACATAAACAACATTATTCAACATTATTCAGAGATGCAATAAGTTTATAGCAGCTGTGCAAATGATCTAGTTGTCTGTTGATTTGCAGCAGATATAGAGCCCCAAAATAAAATTTTGCTTAGTCCATATGGAGGCTTGGGCTGGCAGCCCTGATACCAACATCTCCAAAAATCATATTAAAGATTGTAGCATGTGTTACACGCACCAGGACTGGTGTTGGTGTAACAGATGCTGATTATCCTGTAAAAAGTATATAACAGGTAGGAGTGATGAGGCAGAAACGGGTCTGCAGTGTTCCTCTCCTGATCCATTCTGTCCGATATCAATCACATCATACAGCAGCTCACAGCACCATGATGGACACATTTTTTTTTAAATAATTGCCTGTTCAGCCTGGAATGTGTGTTTCTCCGCTCACGTCTGTATTTCTGCCAGAGTTGTTACTTCTAAGGACGGTGGAGTATAGAGTTGAGGACATTTTAAAAGACGCGGGTTGATAGCAACTCACCGTGGCTGCGTAGTGTCTGTCTCTAGGCAACCGTGACAACAGCGTCGGACCGTAGCGTTCCAGAGGGTTTGGGGGGGGAGGGATCCTTTATCTCTCGCCACGACAATTTAGCTGACCTTAATATTTCCTGTGGTTTATTTTGGTCATTATTATT